TGGAGGCACAGAGGGTCTCCATTCGCACGGCTGTGGAGTGCTACACGGATGGGATGGCTCAGCGTCCCTCTGTGCACCGTGTGGGTGTCAGCACAGCAGCCCCAGCCCCGCCTGGGTCCTTGCACGGTTTCCCCGTGACTGTTGCTTGCTCTTCAGAGGCTGTGCCTGGTGTCAGTCTGCTCCCTTTTCACTCCGTTGTTCGGAGCTAAGTGCAGCAACATCTCTGGTGCCGTTGCTGCCCCTGGCAAACTTGGGCAGAGGTTTCCACAGCCCAGCTCACCTGGGGATGGGCTCTGTCCAAGCAGGGTGCTGTGTACCTTGGGGAGGGTGAAGGTCTTTTTCTTCTCTGGAGCCTCGAGGTGCTGGGCACGGGGAGGGCTCGGCACTGAGCTGTGTCTCTCCATCCCCCAGGTACCGCTCAAGATGTTCCCGCAGCTCCTCCTCCCGCTCCAGCTGTGGGTCTTGTGGCAGGTCCCGGGACAGGTCCTCATCCTCGTCATCAACGTCCTCCTACTCATCCAGGTCCACATCCTGCAGCCAGTCCCGATCCCGCTCCCCCTCGCCCCGCAGGAGGAGTAACAGGCGGAGAAGGTGAGCATCGCCATCCTGCAGGGATGTGAGTTCCCCCCAGACCCATCTCCCGGCCTCCTGTGTCCCGGGCAGGGGTGGACCCACTCCTTCAGTATCTCCCTTGTGTCCGGGATCACTCTCTGCTGGTACCCCACCACCCTATAGCTCACGTGTCTGGTTTCTGCCCTGCCAGATACAGTTACGATGCACAGGACCACTACCAAAGGCAGAGGATCCTCCAGAAGGAACGTGCAATAGTGAGTGCCTGGGGAGCAGGGGCTGAGGATTTGGGGGTCCCCAGCCCCTCCATCACTTCAGAAAGCCACGGGGTCGCAGCCTGGCAGGCAGCATTTCTGGGAGGCTGTGACCAGGGCATGGTGTGATGGGTGGCGACGCAGGGAGGGCGTGCTGTGTGAGGGGTCCTGCTCACCGGGAGGGCCTGGAAATGCCAAGTTCCCTCTGTTCCCGTCTCGCGGAACGGTGCATCCCTGCCCGCAGGAGGAGCGGCGAGTTGTGTTCATTGGCAAGATCCCCAGCAGGATGACGCGGTCAGAGCTGCGGCACCGCTTCTCTGTGTTCGGGGACATCGAGGAGTGCACCCTGCACTTCCGCTCCGAGGGGTAAGCGCTGCGGGGACGTGGGGCAGCCCCTTCCCAGGGACGGCCTGTTTCCCGTTCCTTAAGGGGATGGTGCAGACCGAGAGGGGACAAACGTACTGCGCTTCTGCTGATCTCCTTCCTTCTCCTTTTCTGACCCCAGAGACAACTACGGCTTTGTCACCTACCATCGAGGAGTGCACCCTGCACTTCCGCTCCGAGGGGTAAGCGCTGCGGGGACGTGGGGCAGCCCCTTCCCAGGGACGGCCTGTTTCCCGTTCCTTAAGGGGATGGTGCAGACCGAGAGGGGACAAACGTACTGCGCTTCTGCTGATCTCCTTCCTTCTCCTTTTCTGACCCCAGAGACAACTACGGCTTTGTCACCTACCGCTATGCCGAGGAAGCCTTTGCCGCCATTGAGAGCGGGCACCAGCTGCGGCGCCCCGCCGAG